CCCCCCCCCCCCCCCCAACATTTAATAAGCACCCTCTCCAACAACCCCCTCCCCTCTCCATCAAGCTCCCTCTCTAATAACCCCTATCCAACAACCCACCTCTCCAATAAGCCCTATCTTCAACAACCCACCCCCCCTCTTTAATAATTAGCACCCTCTCCAATAAGCTAACCTCACAAAGCCCCTCATCCATTATGTCAGCCTAAACTCCCAATACACCCCGTTGCAGTACTTTACTTGCCATTTTAGAAAACATCGTTCTCTGCACTTCATGCCGCAGCAGTATCAGGCAGTGTTGAATGTGCTCGCTCCATTCTTGAAGCTGGAGCCGACGCTGATGCTTTGGACGAGAAGAATATCCATGCTGCTCATCTGTAAGTTAAGCAGAAAAACCCGTGAAAAATTTACATCCAGTACAGGTAGTATTACTACAAGAATATGAATACTTCCACGGAAGAATTCGTGATCAAAACGTTAGTAGTACCTGCTAGAACCTGGGTGAAACCTTTGGCAGAGAGGCATGGGACAAGAAAACATGTCTGAGGGACTGAGGCTTACTCTGGGATCTTAACTCACCTTAAATCGCCCAAACTCGCATTGCTTAAAAGTTGACGTTTTTGCTTCGCTAGACATGTCGTCATTTCCTTAGTCACTATCAATAGACCTTTCTTATAATAACGCGGAAAACCAAGTGATGCATTGTTGCACAGGTCAATGCAAGTCGTTGACGAGCCAATAAATTTCATGAAAAAAACATCATTTGCATTGTCCCTTGGGGCATCGCATTACGTGTTTTTCCGCATTAATTAATTTTATTTTTTTATTATAATGCATTATTATTTTTTTTACCCCTACATTTGAAATGATTTCCAGAAAACATTAGAAGCCTTATATGATACGGACACTATAAACCCTTGATTTATTAATTCTGCCATTTCTAACTTGTGTTGTTGCAGTGCGGCGGACAAGGGTCATTACGAGGTGATCAGAGTGCTGGCTTCGTATGGAGCAGATCTTGGCAAAGTGAACACGCAAGGAAATACGTCACTACACATTGCGGCTTTGAAAGGACATGGACAGATTTGTAAATTTCTTGCACAACGAGGTGAGTATTCTCACGTGGACAGATCATGTTCGCGCCCAGATGAACTACGGACACAGGATCGTCTGTGCAGAAGAACAACGCAAATAGTTTGTCTTGACGATTCATCTGTTTCCCGCCTTTGCACACAAAGAAATTATCAGACCAACTATACGCACGCAAGTCTGTGTATGTAGACTAGTTAGATGAACATCGCAAATGATTCTTGACGGATTATCCCGCGTCTGTTTGCCTTGATTATACATATACGAAATGCGATCATAATTACTGTGCTATCACCCAAACTCTCCTAGGCTGTCCGTCAACATTAAAGAACAACGAAGGCAAGTTAGCAAGAATCATTGCCAAGGAAAATGAACATAAAGAAGCCATGAAGGAATGCAAGAAAGCAGAAAAAACTGAAGCGAAAGGAAGAGGAAGCAAGCCTGGAACTGAACCCTGGGCAATCAGAGTAAGATTCGCTGGCTTTCAGTAGCAGCTGGGCTACTGGTTGTGGTCAAATTATAGCAGCAGGAAAATTGAAACTACATCACTCAATTCTATTCAAACACAAGATTAACTCTACATATAAAGGCCCATTTCCACTCAGGAAAATTTTCCACGGGCAGAAAATTTTGTAAAATGTGATTGGCCAACACAAATTTTCCGTCGGAAAAAGTTTTGAAGTTGAAAATTTTCAACTTTAACAATGATGTTTTCGGACAATTTTCTGTCCGTGGAAATTTTTCTTGCAGAGTAGAAATGGGCCTTAATGAAAATAATTTGGCGACAAGTCAGGTGTTCCTTCACGAAAATGCTTTTTTTATGTTGGTGTTGGCAGACAAAAACATTATTTTGCTTATTCTGATAACTGCAAGTTGCCCAACATCTACTAATTGAGTGCAACTAACCTTCATACACCATCTTTGTTTCCAGTTGTATGATTGGGTGCTGGAACATCAGGAGAAGATCGTGGATTTGTTCTATAAATTTGACGTCGAGAGAGACAATGGCAGTCGTTCAGGAAAACTGAGCAAGGATAACCTTATGACGTGTTTACTCACACTGAGTACGTTGCAGTTTATAAGCATTTGCGAAGAGCGCGTTCACTCCACAAAGAATGCATATTTTTCCCGGATTCTTCCTGTAGTAACAATGGACCAATATGGAATTGTCCTTACTGAACTTCTAGCGAGAGCTGTTTAAGAACCTATTATAGAAGTATCCAGTATAAATAAAGTTAGTCAAGTTTCTGGTTTGCGCCTTAAGCAACACTGGAACAATAAACGGATGATCCTTACAGGACCTCTAGGGAGAACAGTTTTGAACTGATAGAGCTATCCAGTATAAATAAAGTTAGTTTAGTTTAGGTTTCCTCCTGTAGTAACACTGGGTCAATAAGAGATGATCCTTACTGGACCTCTAAGAAGAACAGTTTAAAACTGGTAGAGTATGAGCTATCCAGTATAAATAAAGTTAGTTTAGTTTAGGTTTCCTCCTGTAGTAGCACTGGATCAATAAGAGATGATCCTTACTGGATCTCTAGGAAGAACAGTTTAGAACTGATAGAGCTGTCCAGTATAAATAAAATTAGTTTCTGGCTTGCACCTTAAGTAACACTAAACCAATATAAATGATGATTCTTTATACTGGAAATGAAAACTATCGACTCTAATGTGTATAATTTTCCAGGTGCACCGTTAGACAACGAAGTATTGAAAAAGGTCATTGACGCTCATGATCCCAACAAAACGGACGCAATAGATTACTCGATCTTTTTAACTGGCAAAAAATATGTAAATAAGGTAACGACCACAGTTTGTATAGAATACTGCGGAATACTAAAAAATTAATCAAAGTATACTAACCAACTCCGTTTTACTTTTTAAATCTAGCTCTATCTTGTTGGTGCAGTCAAGGTAAGCATATCTTCCTGCGGTGTTCCTCAATACCCACAACTTCACCATGCCTAGATTGGTGTATATTTCTCAAAAAACTGGGCGTAAAATGTAAGAATGTTTCTTCTAGAAAAAGAAAAAGAAAGGAGGCGGTAAAAAAGGCAGAAGAAAAAAGGTTTGTAATGTCTTTATTCAATTAGCCTGCGAACAGGCTCTCAAGCTGAATTGAGAGCCTGCATCGATGACTAATGAATTTGAATATCTGCCCCGTAACGTTCGTTTTTCCAAATATGGAATGTCTATCCTTATATGGTGTTGTTTACAACTTTCGTGCAAACTAAATTTAGACTGTGCAAACTAAATTTAGACTGTACAGTTTATACTGTTTTTCGAAATATAAGATATTCAAGCAAAAGTTCAAATGTTTTAAATACTGTTTTCTCAAAACAGAACATTTTGTGCTTTGAGATAAGACGGCCAAGACCAATTTGATCAGTTAATGTGTTTTTTTATGCATAGTGCTTCAGCAGTTGACATATATAGAGCTCAGCGGAAACATATAAATTATAGCATCTGACCAATGAGAATTTCGCGTCACGATTTGAGACGCAGATATTCAAATTCATTAGTCATCGATGCAGGCTCTCAATTCAGCTTGAGAGCCTGTTCGCAGGCTATTATTCAATATTTGCTTGCCGTGAAGCCTGGTTCACACCAGCAATTCTGTCGGCGATTTTTCTCCTCCTGGCAAATGTGATTGAATGAATGACATACAAACGACTTAGAATTGTTTACTTCTGAAAAGCGACTCTATACTTTTGTGTGTGAGTTCACTCATTTGCATCCGTCAGAAATACAAAATCGCCGGAAAAAATTGCTAGTGCGAACGTGCCGTAGATATAGATATAGATATTTCACAGCACACTCCCTATCAGGGCTTTTCAGTGACAGGTTGCATTGTGAATAGACAGATAGAACCGGACTGACGTGAAGCAGACCGAGGTAGACTTTGAGCTTACAAATGGCGCTTGAGCAGCCGCTATTAGTCCGTACCTCATTAATGATCTGCCTCCAGACCTATGTACCTAACCCACCCTGTCAACTTTCCCTGTGGGAGGAAACACGGAGTACCCGGAGAAAACCCACGACTTTCGGCAGAGCGTTGGCTTACTCTTTTCACATTAGGACTGGGTTCGAGTCGCATTGAGAAGTTCTCACCAGTGAACTCTATATATATATATATCTGGAACGATAACATTCAGTCATTTGATTGTGAAAACAATGAAGCCTCGATACCAGTCTTTCACACGGATTGGACGTCAGTCTCAGTCCCTCAAACGTCAGGTTTACGCGGATTGGACGTCAGTTTCATCCCCTCTCTGCAAACCGTTGCACGGCCAGTATAAATTTGAACGCAATCACGAAAAAAAATTAAAAACATGGCCAACTCAATGCAATACATTGTAGGAGCAAACAGTTTTGCTCCTAAAATTTACTGCATTGAGTTCGCTGTCGGAAAAAAGTCGAGGAAAACTTCCCCGTCTGGACAAAAGAATCACTTTTTCAAATATATTGTGTCGTACTGTCGTTCTGGATGCACAAGGAAAGAGAAATTCTTGCGAGAAAATTTCATTTCACAGGTAGGTATTAAAATTGACTTGCAACTGTGACTTTGCCGTTGCCATTTTTCGCGATTGTTTGAATTGTTTTTTAGTTTACCAGTTTTATAGTTTTTAGTCAATACACTGGTACGTTATTTTTTAAAGAATTTATTGTGTGATCGGAATTTGCCTGCCAGCAAAATGTAAATGAATATGTACGTGTGTTTGAATATAAATTAGACCATATGGGCTTAGTAAAAAATTATTTTAATAACTACGTTTCGGAGTATAACTCCATCTTCAGGTTTATAAAAGTGAATAAAGATATAAAAACTGTGATAAAAACTTTCAAAACAATTACAAATTTTATATGTAAGTGATATTTAATACTGTAAGAATTAAGAAAGTTCTTGAACAGTTGATGACGAAGACAATGACGAATACTTATGTCGTGATTTTTCTGTCGGCTTCACTTTTCGCTCGCTGTTATCGTTCCAGATATATATATATATATAGAGTTCACTGGTTCTCACTGAGGCTTGAACCTGCGGCCTCAGAGGTGAAAGGCAAGTGCGCTGAGGCGTAAATTGCGAATTTATCATGATTATGCGTAAAACATTGTCTTCATCGCATATTTCCATAACTAGGGCAAGACCAAAGTTCCTTTGCCGATCTGTACAGCGCCTGCTGGACCGAGGACTAAAAATGGTGGACCACCTTCTCAATACATAGAACGCTGCGTGGTAAGTTTCATCTTCATTTTCATATGAAACGTTACTCCAAATTAACGTTTGTTAACGTAAAAATCGTAGAGAAATAGAAATGAAACTTTGTTTAATAATTGCTTTCACATTGTTTTATTTCAGCCGTTCACGGACGAGACCAGGTTCGACAGAGATAATCCCCCTCTCCATCCGATACAAGATGATTCAGCCTGGTATCTCCATTCACCTGGTAGGTGGGGGAATATTAACTTGGGGTGAGGTGGTTCATTTTGAAAGATTTGTTAAAAATTTATGAGAAAAATTTTTCAAGAAAAATTTAACACGGACAGAAAAATTTTCGAAAATGTCATTGTTAAAACTTCAAAATTTTTTTCCGACGGAAAAATTGTGTCGGCCAGTCACATTTTACAAAATTTTCTTTCCGCGAAAATGTTCTTAAGTGGAAAAAGTTCTTTAACATGGTAAGATAGGACATTTATCACAAGTCAAGAGAGGATTCAGTGGCAATTAAATTGAGATTAAAATGTTCTCTAGATCCAACATATGTGAATCTAAGTGACGCGGTGAAATTTGGTGATCAGGAATCAATCAAAGTCGCAGTTAACAACGGTACGCCAGTGAACCAGCGCGACAAGTATTATAAAACACCATTAATGATTGCGTGTCTTTACGGCAAGATTGAAGTCGCACGATCTCTTCTTGATATGGGGTAAGTGAAGTTCTTGTTTATTAGTGAGTTTAAACAAGCGATATTTTTGTCAACACGCACATTTTAACTCTCGTGTAAAAAAGCAAAAAACCTTTAAAAATCTTATATTTTGTCATGTGTGTTGAAGACAGTGGTTGAAGATTACCAGAAACATATACAAACACATTTTTTTATCCAGACCCCCCCCCCCGGTAATCTGCCATGAGTTTCACTAAAGCTTGGATCGCTTCAGTCGTTACAATAGACCTTTCCCCTTTTGAGTGAAATTTTGTTCTAGACAAGTCTGGACAAAAATTTCATCGCAGCTTGAAAGAGCATCACAAAATTAGTAATATTCCGTTTTTCAGTCATTTTGCATTGATAATCAGATGAAATTGCACGGGAAATTGATAATCAGATGATGAAACTACTGATTATCAATGCAAAATTACTGAAAAACGGCAAACTTCGCAAGGCTATATTATCCGCATTTTACAACATTTCGCAACGAAACTTCGGAATATTACTAATTTTGTGATGCTCTTTCAAGCTGTGATGAAATTTTTGTCCAGACTTGTCTAGATCAAAATTTCACTCATAAGGGGAAAGGTCTATTGCTGAAATAGTGCACCAGCGATGGTAGTGATAAAATGAAAATCAATTAGTTGGCGATCGAACGATCGTGATTGCTGATAGAAAAATTTCTATCTCAGCAATCGTAACAACCGCAGCGAACATATGGAAATGGAAGTTCAATGATCGTAACGACCATGCAGATAGAAATCCCAAAACCTATGCTTTCTCCGTAATTTTCGCTTCTTCTGTCCTCGTCGTCTAAAAATTCCCAATCAGTGTTGAGGAACCAAGCTTCCAATAACAAACGCTCGTTTGTAGCCTGTGAGAGGGTAGTGCAAGTCAAATTTGATCTCTCTACTGTAACTCACCAATTCTTGAAATATTATATTTCTTCTCACCTTAGTGCTGACTTGAAATCTCGCGATAATTTCTTCTGGACTCCACTGCACCATGCATGTCATTGTGGTCAGCTGGACATCGTCAAACTTCTGCTTGATCACGGCGCGGATATTGACAACCAGGCCATCAATGGAGGAACACCGTTAATGAGAGCTATCGAGAGTTCAAAAGAAGCTGTTGTTAGTTATTTGATTTCGAAGGGGTGAGGGTTATCCGTTGTGAGCTTAATTTAAGTTTTTTTTAAACTAAACACTAACTTTATTTATGCTGGATAGCCCTATCAGTTCTAAACTGTTCTTTCTAGAGGTCCAGTAAGGATCATCTCTTATTGATCCAGCGTTACTACAGGAGGAAACCTAAACTAAGCTAAATTTATTTATACTAGATAGCTCTATCAGTTCCAAACTGTTCGTCCTAGAGTTCCAGTAAGGATCATTTCTTATTGCTCCAGTGTTACTACAGGAGGAAACCTAAACTAACTAACTCTATTATACTGGGTAGTTCCATCAGTTCTCCCTAGAAGCAGTAATAAGGGCCGTTCTGTATTTGTTCAGTGTTACTACAGGAGGTAACTGCAGTACCAGGAGAGAACCTGCTGTGTTTGGTAGAGTCAAATTGGAAGCACTCTTCTCACATGTGACTGAGATGAAATTATAATCAGACACCTGTATAGTACAGGAATTAAACCCTGCTCACAGAGATGAAACGCCTTAATTACTCTACCACCAACACCTTTATACTCACTTTATTTCAATAACTAAAGAGATTTCTTCTGTTTAGAGCGAAAGTACAGGTAGAAAACAAGAAAGGTCACACAGCTCTAGATATTGCCAAGGCCTATGCAGATCCAAGAGTTATTGCTGTCGTTCAAAAACGTTGGGATGAAATTCCTCCTCCTGTTGACAAGAACAAGAAGAAAGGAAAGAAAGGTTAGTTCGTAAAGGACAACATTCTTCAAACCTCGTGAACAGACGTACTATGTTTATTACGCTACGAAAGATACCCACTGCACATGACTCATGTAGAACCATTATAATGGACTCAGCTTTGCCCTGCATTTTGAAAGCATAAACAAACTTTGGCCTCACCTAGGCCAGGAAATCTTGGTCCGCTTCGATCCTTGGCCTAGCCCTGGGCTACGTCACGGCAAAGTAAACAAGTGTGGGTGTATCACAATTACCTTGACCTGCTCGTGGCTAATGGGCCAGCCAAAGACTCCAGTGTGAATCATATTTATAACTCAGTGAAAAAAAATCGTGGCTCATATCCACTTTAAAATGCATGCATAAAATTTTATTTTATGACAAAGTCTGAGCTTCAAGTTGAGTGAAATTTCTAAAACTAACCGCAGTTTTTCATGCATTTGCTTCTTCCTATTATTAACTCCGAGGTCTGCTACAACATTGTATGCTCGTTGCAGGCGGTGGCAGTTCAAAAAAGAGAACAGTGAAATCAGCCGGAGAGAAGAAGATCAACACACCAGTTTCTGTTGAAGGAGACAAACAAGTAAGCATTTAGGCTACGTCTTTCCGTAGCGACGTGAAAAAACACAAAAATATCCGTACCTTTTAGGAACGCTATTTTCAGAGGAATTATTGCAACGGAGAGATGTTGTTTCGCTCAGCTTCTCAAAGTTGTACATTTCGTATCGGATAGGTGTTTTTCGCGCCGCTACAGAAAGCTATCCGGTATAGTGGAAACATAGCCTTAAATATGGAGCATTTGTTTTTACTTTCATCGCAAATTGTTTTCAATATTGTCCTTTAAACATATTTTAATTCTACTTTGAAACTTTGTATTTCTGAAAAACACCGAGTTTGTTTATTTATCTATTTCGATATGTTCCTAGGAGACCAACGACGGCAATGACCTTCCGCCATTACTCCAGAAATCCTCTGTCCTGCGGGCTGCCTCGGCACTCGGTATTGTGAGTGAACAACACAGATCTATTGCATTCACACCTCATAAAGCCTGGATACCACAAGCAACTACAGTAAGTCCCCTTTTGGTAGTACAGTAGATCTCATTAATAATTCATGAGTAAATTAGCCAACCATATTGCTTTATTTTGCTTACATGATAATACTGGATATTGATCCAGTCCTAGGACAAAATTAATTCAGTTTTTGGACTGGATCAAAATTAATTCACCTCACTGATTTATTCGTATAAGATGTCATGATAAAGCTATCCAGTGTAAATAAAGTTTGTTTAGTTTAGGTTTCCTCCTGAAGTAACACTGGATCAATAAGAGATAATCTTTACTGGACCTCTAGGAAGAACAGTTTAGAACTGATAGAGCTATCCAGTATAAATAAAGTTAGTTATGGATTTAACTTTTTTCATAATTCTCTCACAGGAAGACCTGTTACGCGAACGAGAGACTCGAAGGTTGAGATATGGTTACGAGATAGACTTTCCAGAATATAAGCCACCTTTTCAGAAGAACGTCCACACCCGGGTCACAGAGTTAGAGAAACAGGAGAGCTGACCATGGCATGATCGACCTTTGTGTAGTGGTTAACTCCGAGCTGGTCACATGGTCTTATGACGGCTTGTTCCCAGGCCGTGTGTAGGACCCGTGGGATAGATTCACTGACATGTATGTGTAGAAGACATGGAAGTTGCTAAGGCAAGGTTCAGTGAGCATTTGTGGAAGGCAGATGATGGTCAACATCAGAAATGTTCACACTTATAAAATCAAGAAAATTAAACTACATCTTTCGGTTATATTTATTTCCTACCAACTACAATACTTTTTTATAATGAAAAGAATGAACATGATTTTCTCACTCTGATAACTGCACGTTGATCACCATCTGTTGTACGATAGTGCTTAGTGAAACCCAGCTATACATGTCAGTGGGTCGATTCAGCTTCGTTGTCAGAGAGCGAGAAATCAAACCCTGTGTTGTTGTGTAGGTAGGATAGATAGAGTTGTGTGTTACTATGTCACCTCATGGTATTTTTTACCCATGGTATGAATTACTGTCTAACAACAGATTTTTTAAGTTGTCAGTTTAAATATTGGAAATTTTAACTGTTAGATAATGTTTTGAGATTGTAATTTTACGAAATGTTGTAGAAAAAAGGTTTGAAGCAATTAAAAGGTAGTTTCATAGCATTTATTTTTCTTTTCATTTGCTAGTAAATACAGAACTGTAACGTATAATGAAAAGAATGAACATTATTTCCTCACTCTGATAACTGCAGGTTGACCCCCATCTGCTGCACGATACTGCTTTGTAAAATCCATTTAAATACGACACGTACAGCATCTCAGCTCAAGAGGTATTTGAAATATCAAATAAAGCTGACACAACACATGTTGATTCAAGATAATCCTATAATCTATCTGTTAGTGGAAAATTAGCATACTTACCGTCTTTTTATTCAAAATGTGTGTACATTTCAGTCTGTCTTGATAAGTGTAATACTTCACTGACGCAATGACATCTCCTATTCATAAAACAATAAGAAACCAATAACATTACTCAAATTGTCTCGGCTGACTGTCTGGTGAAGACTAAACCCATCTTAACATTACAATGCTTGCATATTAAGTAATTCAACAAGTTTGATACAAGAAATTTCAAATTTTGATGTTTTAAAGTATTTCTGTATTGATCATGGATTCTACTGAAAATTCGCTAACCCTGGAAAGGTATGTTGGTTTAACGTTGGTTGACAAGTTTTGACAGACTTTAAAAGATCTTCCACTAATTTACTGTCTACTGTTTGTAAGGCAATTTATAAATGGCAGTTTATTTCCAAAGCTCTTGCAAATTTATTAGAAGTATCACCGGGCTTTCAGTAAAGTGTTCGAGAAATGTCGACACTTATTTATTTGACTACTCCATATAATGAAAAGAATTGACATAATTTTCTCACTCTGATAACTGCAGGTTGACCCCCCTCTGCTGCACGATAATGTTTAGTGAAACCCAACTATAGACTGTTCTAGCAACATGCATGGAACTGACCGTTACTGAGCCCGACCGTTGCTACAAGGTAGTCAAACTAGAAGCACTCTTCTCACGTTGGGCTGCAGTGAAGTTACAATCAGACAACGACATGGTTAAAGGCATGTCTCAAACTCACTAATAATTCATGAGTAAATTAGTCAACCATATTGCTTCATTTTGCTTACATGATAATACTGGATACCTGGTAAAGTACATTGATTCAGTCCTAGGACTGGATCAAAATTAATTCACTTCACTTTAAATAGTGATTTATTCGTACGAGATGTCATTTCAAATCCTCCAATTCAGACTGGACAAGATTTCAAGTCCTCGCATTTGATCCAGTCCTCGGCTACGTCTCCGACTGGATCAAATTGTGCTGACTAGAAATCTAGTCCAGTCCTCATAGTCAGATTTGAAATATTGCATCAGAACACCCTAGCAATGACAGATACTGGAAATTCCCCATGTCATGTCCTAGGATAATTCAAACTGGTTTTATTCCAATATCGGCCCTGGAAGATTCCTCACGACCTTCGTCCCCAGCCCCCTTCATTTTCATCACGGACTACAATATTTCACCTTGGTCGGACGTTTCCGAAGAGTACGCGATCAATGACGAAGATTTTGTGGTGAGTAAGGACAACGTAAAGTATCAATTGTCACAATCTAATACACCCTTTCGGAAAGTACGTCACCTTGGCTATACAGCCTCGTTCACGTGATTGACACGTGAACTGATGTCCAGATACACACGCAAAAATCTCACATCTTGTAACAAAGTTTGCCAACAAGTTGTCTTCGCACTGTTTGTCACAAGTTGTCAACAAAGTTTGGAACAAACTGTTTAACAATTTGTAACAACCTTGTTGTTATGATCAGGCTTGTGACAAGGTTGTTTGAAGTCCGATACAGTCATGATATAGCAGTATTGTTACAACCTTGTGTCGTCAACCTTGTAACATTCTTGTTATATCATGACTGTATCGGACTTGTTAGAACAATCTTTTGACAAGTCTGATAATGCCATCAAGCTTGTTACAAGTTGTTAACAGCTTATTCCAAACTTGTTTCAACAACTGGGAACAAGCAGTGCGAACACAACTTGTCGACAGCTTGTGAACAGATTTGTAACAACTTGTTTGCAGACCTGTAACAACTTGTGCGTTTTTACGTGCGTACACGAAAACGAGGCTCTATAACCAAAGTGAGTACTTTCCAGAAGGGTGTATCAAGCCAGTACATCAAATTCGCGAAACAAAGTTTTGAAAACAGTTTACTTTTAAAGATCCATTATTTCACAATTTCACCACAATACATGTATATAATTTAAGTTTGATGCACCATTCAAAATGAACGTAAACTTTAAAATACATAATATAAAAATTCTGTCCTTTACAGAAATATGAATGTCTTTGTACAATCAGAATTGTGTTATATAAATACAATATGTCGCTATTTACATTGTGAATAAAGTTGCAATTATTTCGTCTTGCAAAAGTGCAGGTATACGACAGAACTAATTCTGCCAATCGCAGAACTAATTCTGCCAATCACAGAACTAATTCTGCCAATCAAATTGGCATCAAAACTGACCAAGCTGCATGGCGCTACAAAGGTCTAACTCCCCAAAATAGTAGTTCTAAAACTCCCAACAATTTGCCCGAAACCATTGTTCCTTTGTAAAAACTATACCACTCGCCAGCTTCACACAGTGACCATGGGGTGGGGGTGGGGGGGGAGAGTGGGGGTTACACGCGAGTGAACGAAGCCTATTGTAGTCAGATTATTCTAACCATATATCAATGACCTTTTCCTCTTGTACTCAACCCCCACTAGCCCTGCAGTCCCTGTCATAGTGTTCAGAAAAACATAGTACAATTTGCCGTACTTTGATACCATGTCGTATAAAAACTTAAATGTAATTGCCAAGACTATCAAAACTATATCACCCATCAACCCAAAATGTTACCTACTTTCTCAAATGTCAGACAATCTTATAATCTTCAAAGCAAAGATGCTGGGCTTATATTTATTTCTACATTTCCAAGCTCACAACAGACCTTACTGACATTATTCTCTTTTACCCAATGGCCTCGTTTTCATGTCAAATACGTACTCGTGTTTTCTGCTTAATAGTAGGGCTGAAAATTACTTTGTTATTGAGCCTAAGAACAGCAAGAAACAAATTCGTCCAGGAAAACATGGGAATATAATCTTTATCTGCCCCTGACATGCTAAAATAAGTTAACATGGAAACGAGGTCATTGGGTAAAAGAGAAAAATCGGCAAGTCTATTGCAAGACGTAATAATTGCAACAATCTTTCCAGTTGGAAAGCAAACTCTACAGTTGGAAATCTTCAACTAGAATGTCGTCCATCACCATGATACTGTGACATCATATACATACTGTTCAAGATTTTTGCACTTTCGCTCGGTCTCAGCACCTTGCTGGAAAATCTGGGCACTGCATCATTGTTATTGAAATAAGGCACTGAGTCATTCTTTAAAACTATGTTTCTGATGGGTGGTTCACTTTTACTGTAGACTATCGTGTTTGGTCGGGCAGGATGGATAAACCGCTGAGTCGAATCACCAGGTTGTCCTCTTTGCTCCTTGCCGAGGCAATCTGCACTTACTGTCTTGGTAATCCCCATGGGGTTAGTGTGGGGATTTGAGTTCAACAAACTTGATACATGAGTTTGCTCTTTGTTAGGTGGATAGGATATGGTGATAACAGGTTCTCGGACACAACTATTTGTTGTTGATAAAGTTTGTTGAATGTTTGATTTCAAACATGGACTAGAGTAAACAGCTTTGCTGTGATTGGTTGAATCATGAGCACTAGTCATGTCTACAAAACGAGAAGTGGATGTTCTAGGAACATGTCCCAAGTTGACCACACAGTCCGTGGACCCACCCCCGGGGGGATTGATAGCTTTCTTAATATGACTTGGTAAATCTTTCACACCGTTTAACAGCAGTGGTTTTGGTAAGCCAACTTGAGTACAACTTGAAGGGCTCTCTCCTTTGATACGACATGCACTGGGACTGCTTGCAGCTTGGGATTTCACTTTGTGACCAGAGGATTGAGGCGATGATCTCTGTGGCCCTTCTGGCGTCTTCTTGCTTTCAACATCAGACGTGCTATCCAAGTCAACAAGTTGTTTACCAATCGAGGACTGATCAGAAATTCCTGTAAGATGAGCAATGCTGAAATTTGACTTTGTCTTCGGCTCAGAAGAGTTTGCATTTTTCTCAGGCGAGTCTGAATTCTCGCAAAGCAACTTGTGAATCTTTTGCAAATTCTTGGCAGAATGCCTTGGCTCACCAAGGGTGGCTGGAAACAGCGAAGATAACCTAGTTGACGGGCTCGACACAAAGAGTGAAGGGAGCATACTTGGTGTTTGTTCAACATGGGTGGAACTACTCGGCCGTCCTTGGCTGGGAAGGTTATGAAAAGTGTATGCAAGCACTTGATCTGGGGCTAGGTTACTGGTACTGTATTCACCGACCGGGTCAGGCGCAGCCACCGGCACACATGATGTTGGATTATATGGGTTAAACATGGCAGGCTCCATTAACGACAACTTTGAACTGTCTTTGTTTTGTTCACCCAAACTCTCTTTTGGAATACTAGTAAAGACCTGTGGCATCCCCACATCAACCTCCATATCCTCATATTGTCCACAATTATCCATTAATGTTCTCTTCCTTGGCGACCCATTTCCAGTCTCAAGTGACCTTGTCTTACACTCCATTTCTTTGATCTGATCTAACAAGTCTCGTTTCCGCTTCTTTTGCATGGTGACTTCATTGAGCAAACCCTTGCGAAAGTTATCTGGCACATATAGCTCATGTAAGAGCACCTCGTTTTCAATCTTACAAGTGTCATGTACTTCCTCGCCATTTGTAACACCACAAGAATTCTCGAGCATTGCAACCTCCTTACCCATATTCACACACTCTTCAACAAGCGTTAGTTGTTCTTCAACAAGCTCATGCAAAGTCACAAAAGTTTCCGCAGGTTTAGAAGCATCGAGCCCCATCTTTTCCATCCTGTCTTCCAAAAGTTTCTTCCCCTCTTGTTGCAGACTATACACCTGATAATCCAAATCCTCAACTTGGTTTGTCAGTAACGTATTTCTCCGACGCTGTTCGGTAAGTTCATGAACAACAGATTCAGAATACTCTGGTGTATGCATGTGTTGCCAGAATGCAATATATTGTTGTTTCATTGTTTCAACAAACTCATCAATTCCTGGTGGTTTTGGCATTGCACGTTTCCTCGAAGGCTTCCCAAGTGCAGACTTGGTGGCTTTGTCGAGAGCAGAAACAGCTACGTAGTCTAGATTCAGCTTCCCTTTCTTGTTTTTGATGTGTTTACGATATTTACGTTTCACATTCGCTGCCGCATTTTTCTTTTTGTCCTTTCGTTTCTTCTTTTTCTTCTTCTTAATGAGGCTGACATCAGATGCATCCGTCTTGTCGTCCTTTTCCGGCTCAATCTTATGTTGCTCAATCAGTGCAATCAGATCATGCCATTGGTGTCGTGTGGTCGCACCAAGTGAGACGTCATCAAGCTCATCAAGTTTGCCCGTCCATTCTTCGTCAATGCTAACCGAATCATCGAGGCTTGCCGTCTCATCCTTGCCTGTATCCTTCTTCTTTTTCAAGCCGGAAAAATACTCCTCGAGCATGGTGCTATCTACCATCTGTACATAATAGGATACCGGATTACCCGTCCAAGAGACCGATCCAGGCATCGTCGCCAACTCAGTAATCCTCAAAATAGCACCAATGTCTGACAGGTTCCGTTTTGTGACTCGAAAGTTCAACGGACAGTATGGCTTCGATGATATAATCCTCGTACCATCTTTCAATGCTGAAAATCTTTGTTTAAGTTTATGATCGACAGTAGGTCCAAACGCGAAATTGTTTACAAATATAATAGATGCTTCACCAATTTTAGAACAATTTTCCTCTGATAAAAAATCTCCTTTCTCAAGGTGGTATGGACTGAAGGTTTTTCCATGCCACTTCATCCATCTCCTGAATAATCTGTCCATTTCTTGAGCGTATTTTGCCGGGGTTCCAGCTTTCTCGATACCAAAACAGTGCTTGATGTTTGTAGACGCGGCAACTTGTAGTACGACTTGCCCAACACCGCTACCCAAATCCAGAAATATTTCGTCGGATTGAAAGGAAACCGCTTTAACCATTTGTGCTACGAGATCAAAGGACGTCTCCCCGTACACTTCAGGTGAAAATGGCTCGTATAAATTGAGCTTGTCAGGGTCTTTTACACTATGATTGTACACTTTCGAAAGTACATGTCTGAGCAATTCTTGCGAAGGACGCCGATTTAAACACGCCGGCGGGGCTCTCCCTTTCCAAAGCTTTACAACGCTATCCACGGCTCGATTGTAGCGCTCACACAATTTCGACATACTATCAAAACAATGACGGTCATAATTATCCAAAACATGGTTTTCTATAGCGATTTGTAGCTCCGGGAAATCCTTCCCAACCCAACGAATTGTATCAATAATTTCTTGCATGTCATCTCGTCCGTGTGCATGCTGTAAAGGCCAGTCATAAACCATCGCTTCTGCCCCGGCAGGACTATGAAGACTTAGTACTTGAGCCATTCTAGCTTGTGGTGTGTTAAATCAATAACATATTTCAACTAGATCGTTTAAAAATGTGATTATTTTCACTTGAGCATTGTCGCATTTGGCGGCTACATTCCAACCATGAAATACACACGCTATGTTTACTGTTTCCACTTTCGAGAATGCCTTTCTTTTTACAAAACATCATTCAAATTTCCTTGATAAAAACATTATATTTTCACATCTTTAAAACACTCTAATTCTTTAAAATTAAACTCAAATTTAGCATTGAGCTAGAATATGCAAGTCTATTTTGCTGCACAATGTCATTCCTCTCAAATTAACCTCAGATAAATTTCAATGCAACTAACAACATTTTTTCCTTATTTCTTCTCGTAAGAATTCCTTGAACAGAGAAATTTCCTTCCATTCCTTCCATTCTGACGTCCTTTGCCCTGGGAACAAAATGCCGGTAACAATGAAAGCGAAACTTCAGGCAAAAATTCGACGTTTCTTAATAAAGTATTTTCCTAAACTACATAACAAAAATACAAGCACTCATGTCTGCAAAACACAAAACATTCAATTTGTTTGCCATTCAGGTTCTTTGCATTTTTTATTATCCCTACACTGTGGTATTCTATGGCAGTATTAAGAAGAACAAGCAACACTTTTTTGACATTTCATTTTTTGGCTTGTATCTGTTTACATATTTTTTTTTAAATACACAAGAAAATGCAGGCTTTTTTGCTAGTTTAAAATTTGGAAAAACAGAAATAAATTCAGTGAAATTTCGAGATCAGTGCAAAAAATTATACTGGTTACCAGACCCCTCGAAGGTTCTCGGTGTTGACAATCTGTTATTGTTTTTGATCAAAAAGTGTCATGAACTTAACAGTTTTTTGTGAAAATTAACAGAATTATTGAGATAAAACTAAGCAAGAATGCCAGAGAAGGTATGTATATTGCTATACGCACAAAGAAAATGTTTGTAAACTACTTAGATTTATTAATAGCGCGTCTCGAAAAATCACCAAAGGTCGTTTTATATGTGGCGGGTTATTTTGAAATTGCGCTTCGATGACCCGTGGATTCTCAATGAAACTTTATATAAAACTTAGTTTTGAGAATAATTTCACTATTATATAATGCTATATTGTATATAATATTAATATTTCTAGTTTTAACGTAAAATCGACAATTTTAAATTTTATAAAAGCATGACTAAATTAATCTAATACTCTAAGGACCTCATAAAATTCTTGTCATATAATAATAAACAAAATATTGCTAGATTTATTTTTAATAATATAAGATATGCCAATAGTGTAAATTTATAATATTAATAAATATCAAAATCGAGATCAAATAATGATTGGATGTATTACAAGATATTTTTTGTGATCTTTGGTTATTTGATATGTCTGCAAAGGCATTGTTGGTTGTGTTTCCTCATTCCAGAAAAATTGACCAAACATGGTGAATGGTATTTTAAAGGTGATCTATAGTCCGTATGTAAACAAAGCCTTTGTTTACATATTTGTGTCCAAAATATTGAGCTTTATTCGATAACTATTTATATTTTCAAGCTTCTAGAGTATAATAAATGATCAAGAAACAACAATCAGGCTTTTCAAGAACTCAAAACATAGTTAAACTGTTTGTATCATAAAAAGTGGGCTCATTTGTGCACATGCGCAGATCGGACTGTAGATCACCTTTAAGGATTTAACCATCAAGTTGCATTGCACCATACCTTATTTTTTCACCGTGTCTATCACCAGACAATTTTGCCTGTCAAGAGGAAAGCACTTGCACTCAATGGATTCATTTAAAGATTTACTTCTGTAGCGCAAGAATTAATTCCTGTGTTGGCAACCAACTTTTAAGATTTTAGCTGACCACAAGCTATGCTTATACCATAAACCCATTGCACCTAATAACGACCCATAGTAATTTGATTATGATGAAAGAAAATGGAATCCATTCTGTCCTGTGATTCTAGTTAGATCATATGTAAATTGTGTAAATCTATATTTTTGTCTTCATTTTAGCAAAACAAATACACGACACATTCTATAGCTGACCCACCTATATGCACAGAGGTAGAGTTGTACATTGTTTAAAATGTTTCCTTGCTTTGGTGCACAAAAGTAAGAATAGATAGGTTTCATTGACCAGATGGTGACGACTTCACAAATGTCAACATTTACAGGAACAACAAAATTAACCCTTTAAGTGGCAATGTGCCAAAATGTGCCCTACCTTATTATTTTACTCTGTCTAATGCCATACAATTTTACTCTTCAAAGGAAGAGCACTGGCACTCGATGGGTTAAACCACATCTCTCAATTCTATATATTTTCCCTCCAAATACAAGACTACTCCATATAATGAAAAGAATGAACATGATTTTCTCACTCTGATAACTGCAGCTTGATCACCATCTGTTGCACGATAGTGTTTAGTGGGGATCCATGCATTAGTGCGTTTAAAAACAAGTTATTTTAACAATTATTATGAAACAATTATTATCTTTTAGTGTCAGAAAAATGAGCTATCGTTTTTTGATCCAAATTGCCCAGGATGTTCAGATATACTAGCAGAGTAAGTCAACATGTGCTATCATTTATTAAAAAGATAAAACTGTAATCAATCATGACACCATTTTTTATGCATAAGTCATAACGAATGATGCACTTGTTGAGTGTCAGTTTTATTGCTTTTGATCGCCCAGTTATCTGAAAATCCGTTTAAACTTTAAAAATTCATCTAAAAACTAGGCATCAAATGCAGTTGAATATTCGAGAAACTAAGACTAAGTAAACACTAACGCGCTTCTAGCAAAACTATAACCATACATTTTCAGAACTGACCTTGTCCTTGGTTGTTTGGTCATTGACATTGTATTTCGTTCCTGGTAGTTTTTGACTTCAAATCTTCGCTATAAAGGTTCACCAAAGCCCCACCAAAATACCATTAATATTTTACCATAATATAGCGGACACTTTCTTTAGAGTTTTTGAAGCTTTAAAAGAGCCGCCAGTTGCTGTAAAATAATGTTGAAATTTCACCACATTTCAAAAGCGCTTTCTTCCTCGTGCGAAAAGCAGGCCGTGTGATGATTGCATGTTGCGTTAAATTTGCATGAACAATTTGAAAACTCCCGCGGGCATTACGTTGCGCGTTTATGAGAATATAGCTGACATGAAACAGATGACGATTCGTAGAAATTAATGGTATATACGTTAGAAGATAACAATGTTCATTTCTCTGTGGCAAGAAATAATTCGAATGAAACGAGGATGAGGTTAGCTGTTCTTAATCAAACTTATTAGGCCTGTTTTATACCTTATACGTCGAATTTCGGTCGCGTCGAATGCATTTCAAACAATAGATAATGAAGCTTAATGAGGTTTATCATCTCATTATCTATTGTCTTAATTGCATTCGACACGACCAAAATTCGACGTATAAGGCCCGTTTCATACGCCGTACTTCACATGTACCGAATACATTAAAAACAATAGATAATGAGGCATTTCAGCTCATTACCTATTGTCTTTAATGTATTCGGCCCATGTGAAGTACGGCGTATGAAACGGGCCTAAAACTGGCCTAACTCTATTAGCAATTCGATCTCAATTCCCAGGGGCCTAATATATTTTATGCTTAAGATTTGCAAAGTGGTTTCTTACGAAATTCCGAGGTTGCATTTTTTTTATACACCCTGTAGATAGAGCTTGAAATGTCCCCTGTAACAATACGTGGCTGCCTGGCTTTAACTTGGAACGAACAAAAGTACTCACATTTTGTAAACACTGTCCTTCCAAATTACACCTAACTCAGTCTCAGAATCATATTTTTCTACGTCTGCAATATGGTATCACAGATTGCGTTGCGGTACAAAACTGCCTTCTTTCCAACCATCGCTCTAATCATGCTATTCTATAAACACTTTCACATTTGCACTTTCACAGCCCAGAAACTTCAATTTCCGAGATATTTGCCATTATCAGACAATGGGTGCCACAAGTGCAGCAAAACCTGGAAACATTTGTTACTGAGGTATCATCATGGCTATTTATAACATATACACATTGACAACCATTGACATTTTGACCATTTCGACTTACCATGCAATACTATTTTTCGTGCCAGATAACAAAACGTGGTGCTGGTATAAATGACCGTGATGGTCTGACCGACATGACACTTCTACATTACGCGTCCAAGTCAGGAGCTGGTAAGATTAAGGCCCGTATTCTAAAAGCTCACTCACACTCAATGAGTGGAGGTTCAATCTGAGCTTCCCTTGAGTGTCAATGCTGTTTTTGAATAGCTTGAGGGCGAGTAGTCACATAGTAAGGTACGACACTAACCCTCCAGCTATTCAAAAACAGCATCGACACTCAAGAGAAGCTCAGATTGAACCTCCAATCATCGAGTGTGAGTGAGCTTTTAGAATACGGGCGTAAGGTCCACTTCCACTCAAGAAAAATTTCCATGGACAGAAAGTCTTCCGAAAATATCCTTGTTAAAAGTTGAAATTTTCAACTTAAATTTTTTTCAGACCTAAAATTTGTGTCGGCCAATCACATTTTACAAATTTTTCTTCCTGTGGAAAATTTTGCTGAGTGGAAATGGGCCTTTACAAAATTATTAAGAATAGGTACGCATTAGGTACATTCGACAACTCATTGCTTCATTTTTATTGGTTAGTTGGCGTAGGTGATGTCGACACGGCTGCTGGTTTGGTCACTGAGCTCATATCCCAGGTATTTCATAGTTGTAGGCTTGTAGCATTGGATCCAACGTTAAATACAGCTGAAACTCTTTTTAAGCAGACACCTCTTTTAAGGCTGGTATACACTATTATACACTATCAAAGTTTCTGTGATCACAGTAGGAATTTTGCATAGGTAAATTCTAAGTTTTGAAAGATTTGTAAGAAATGTTTGAGGAAACTGAATCAGTGTTTTAAACATTG